GAAAAGCTAACTTAATTTGCTAATAGAAATGAAAGTATATATATTTTTTTTTTTTTTTTTTTTTTTTTTTTTTTACGGATATGCGCACCCGCAAGGAAATGTCCTATCACGCTCGAGAAGCGGCAAGTGCGCGGAAATGTCGGTGTATGTTGGTCTTGAAACGGTTCAGGTTGTAACCTGCAGGGAAAACCGTCGCAGGGAGTTTATTCCACAGCGATGCTGTTCTCCAGAGATATGAATTCTGATATAATGAGGTTCTTGGTGCCTCTAGTTTGACAGTAAATTCATGGTTACCGTCTGTTTGACGGGTTCGCCTGGTAGGTGCTACTCTCGGTGGAATCATACGTGCCAACTCTTCAGAGCATTTTCCGTGATAGTACCTGTAGAAGAGAGATAAATCGCCCACAGATCTGCGATGTTCGAGACCATCCAAGTTACGAGTAAGTGCGGGGTCATTGATCAGCTTGATAGCTCGTTTTTGCACGGTGTTCAAAAGCATTAAGGTATGTTTGGGTGCTACACTCCATATATGTGAGCAGTACTCCATAGTTGGTCGAATCTGGGCTTTGTAGAGTGTCAGCAATTGGCTTGGTGTGTACAGATGTCTTGTACGAAATAGCACCCCCAGCTTTTGGGAGGCCCTTTTAGCAATATCTGCCACGTGACTGTGCCAAGACATGTTGGTCTCTGCAGTAACCCCCAAGATGTTCAACTGACTCTGTAATGTGACCGCACTTCCAGATAGCATGATGTTTGGCTCACCGGTGCTGGTCTTTTTTGAAAACAGAGCTGCTTGGGTTTTCTGCGCGTTGAACTGTACAAGGTTTTTGTTACCCCAGTCCTCTATTATCTCCAGGTCGTTATTTATCTGCGATATTTGAGTTAGTCTAAGATGATGGAATTCACGTGCGGAAAGACCTGTGGGTGGTATGAGTGAGGAGACTACATTGCCATCGTCTGCAAAGCAATAAAGTGGATTTACTGTTTTATCTATGAGGTCATTTATGTAAATCAGGAAAAGAGTTGGCGAAAGGATTGCTCCCTGTGGCACACCAGCATTTATTTGGTAAGAGTTGGAGTTCTGGCCATCCAGTGCAACATAAATGGATCTGTCCTTTAGGTAACTTTCAAACCAAGTGCAAAGTTTTGGCGATAATCCCATTGCTTTGAGCTTGTTGAGCAGATTTTCATGCCAAACTTTGTCGAATGCTTTAGATATATCTAAGGCAATTGTTCTTGTTTCACCCCGCAACTCAATCGCTTTTTGCCATAAGTGAGTGACGTATGTAAGTAAATCGCCAGTTGACCTATATTTTCGAAATCCGTATTGCTTATCGTTGATAATTTTGTACTTTTCCAAGTACTTGGTTAGGTGATTGTTCACAACTCTTTCCATTACTTTTGATATCACCGGAAGTAGAGCAATTGGTCTATAGTTTAAAGGATCTGTCTTTTTTCCTTTCTTTGGAATGGGTTGTACTGCGGCAGACTTCCATGATGATGGATATACTCCTCGCCTGTAAGACAAATTGAATAATTTTGCGAAAGTTGGGGTGAGTTCGTTGGCGCAATTTTTGAGTACTATTGCGGGAATGCCATCCGGACCCATTGCTTTGTTTGTATCCAGCTTCTTTAGGGATTTTCGTATTTCTCTGTGACAAAAGGGTACCTCTGGCATACTATGGGAAACCCTTTCAATGAACGGTGGAGTTTTTCCGTTTGGCACTGTTAGGTTGGAGTTGGAGGAAAACATTTGGGCAAGCTAATAACTTTTGTTTCGAAATTAACCGTTAAAAAAGTAGTAGAGGCTCATTGTCTTAGGTATAGAATTTAACAAATAGATAAGCACCTAGTAGAGTAGGAACCTACATTTTTCATTTCGATTTGTCCAGTACTTGAATTATGAAATTAACCAACAAAGGTACTAGCATAAACTTTGTTGAATATTATGATTTTATTATGTCTTTTACCTATAGACTAGTTGAAATTAAATTAGGATAAATTGAGCGCAACTGTATATATTTTAAAACTTTTGCAGCAAAAAATGCCATAAATTACATTTGTGTCCTAAAATGTTATAATTAAAATATAATTTTCAAAGAAACAACGACTCAAAGTACAATTAGGTCTATGTTGCTTCAAAATAGGGGACAATAATTACATTTATGCCATTAAATCATAGAATTTTTATAGCAGAAAAGACATAAAGTACAATTGAGGCTTTGTTGATTCTAGATAAATAAAATATTTTTATCAGAAAGTGGACATAAAGTATACTTACGCCGTTGTTTTCCTCAATAGAGTGAACCATAATTACATCAGTCAGACACAAACACATTTACGCCCATGTTGCACTGAACGAGTACAACCTCTCGCAAAATCCGCAACACAACTAGTCGATGCGTCCGTGTTGTCGCGGATGGGTAATATCAAATGTCAAAATATCAAAAACGACGCAACTACTATCTAGGGGTAAATCGTCTTACTACAATTATGTCGTTTTGTCAGCGAATAAATTTGGGCTTTTGGGATTTATGGATGCACTTAACTCATTTTATTACAAATTAGCAGTTGCGTCGATGTTGTGCTGGAACGGCGATGTCATATTAAAATTTCAAATTTTTCGAGTGAAAAATAATCCCATTGCAAATTAATGAAAATTAACTAAATTAGACATAAATGCACCATCTAACATTTAATTTTTTTTCTGGAAAACTGTCCAGGAGAAAATTTTAACATTTTCTGGAAAAAAAGAGGAAAATCAGAGACGTATCATACTAAAATTTCAAATTTTTCCAGTGAAAAATAACCCCATTGGAAATTAATGAAAATCAATTAAATTAGGCATAAATGCAACATCTAACATTTTCTTTTTTTTTCTGGAAAACCATTTAGGGGAAAACTATGAAATTTTCTGGAAAAAAAAAGAAAAGTTAAGGGCGTATCATACTGAAATTTTAAATTTTTCCTGTGAAAAATAACCCCATTGGAAATTAATGAAAATTAACTAAATTAGACATAAATGCACCATTTATTTACATTTTATTTTTTTTCTGGAAAATTATCTAGGGGAAAATTATTAAATTTTCTGGAAAAAAAAGTAAACTCAAGGGCGTATCATACTAAAATTTCAAATTTTTCAAATGGAAAATAACAAAATTGAAAATAATTTTAAAAATTAAATAGGGGTGCGTTCGATAACGTCTTTTTTTCGTATAAAAAAAGGACCTGCTCAGGAAAATCAATGAAATTGACATTTGACAGTGTAAACCCAGTCACCAAAAAAACAGTAAACTAACACTTTTGACAGTTGACATTTAAAATGTCAACTGTCAAAAAATACATGTTCTATCAATACTAAAACGACAAAGCCTATTCAGCTGAAAAAAAGAAGAAAAAAAGTGACTAGACACGCCAACACATTAGGAAACCAATAGGATTAGGACTTGTTGCTAATAGAAAGTAGGATTAGGCAACAAATTATGATTAAGAAGTGAATAGATTAAAGGCTTGCTGCTAACAAATTAGGATTTAAAATAGGCTAAGGAGAACTGGAAAAAGGAATTTTCTAGTAAAAATTAAATAATTTGATAATGCATAATTATAGTATTTTAGGCGTACTATAATGTCCTTTGATAGAACATAGTACATAATCATTCAATTATAGTACAAATACTATAATTATAGTACGGTTGGCAACACTGTTCCTGGCTCTTGAATTTTCGTTTTATTCTAAATTTTTTTAAATAAAGAAAATTTAGGAACTTGGAAAAGAAACGAAATATTTATTTTGTTTACCAATCTTTTTTCAATTTGTCTTGAATTTCTCAATTTTTCCCGCTCATTTTTTGTTTATTCCTGACTCTTGAATTTGTCGAAAAGAGCCTCGAATGGAGAAAACATGGATTTCCTTTTATCTACCATTTTTTGAAAAAAAAATCTTACATTTCGTCTCTAGTTAATTCTCAGTTTTTCCATCTCAATTTCTGTGTATTCCCGGCTCTTGATTCTTGAATGTTCGTTTTCTTCTAAATTTCTCTTAAATAGAAAAAATCAAGGGCTTGGAATTCAAACAAAATATTTTGTCTATTTGTTTTCTTGAATTTTTTTGCAATTTTCTCAGCTCAATTTTTGTCCAATACCGAAAATCGAGCAAAAAATAGCTATTTATGCAACAAGTGTGTAAAGTAAACTTTTTTCACGAATGAAAAAAGTGGTTTTACAAATATGTTGCATACAAAATTTTGTCTAGTACTGATATGAAGCATAAAGCCATATGTTTAAAAATAAATATATCACAACTTTACGGCCTAGGGTGTAAAGTAAATATCACATTTTTTTTAATGCAAAGAAAAAGGGCAGCACAGCAGAGGCTTTTTTGATATCAAATTATGCATTTTTGCAAAGTAGTGTGTAAATTGAACTTATTTACGCCATAGAGCCTAAAATATGTATAATTTTGCGTTTGTAAAGTAAGTACTTTACGCACGGTAGTAGAAAAAGTCATTTTTGAGATGTTACCTTATCTTAACCAGTAGAAATATCAAGGCAAACTTTTTCCACCCTCTTGCAAAAGTCTTATCTTTAAGACTTTTCTTAATTAAAAAAAAACTAAATACATACCTACTCCACAATGTCATTTTTTCAAATTTGTTGTTTTTTTTTTTTTCACAAACAACATCTAATTATCCACGCTTAATATAATTTATTAGATCTAAATTAAAGTCAATTAAATCTACAAATTTCCAATTTCGCTTTAAAAACATTAATTTAAAATATTCAATTTAAAAATTACTTAGGTACTCCTCATACATTATTTTATAGTTAGTTGTCCATGGAATTTCCAACAATCAAATTAATCGAGGCGTTGTTTGCCCGAGTCTATTTTTGTCTACCAGTATGATGCAGGCGCACTGTTTATTTTGGTCCTATAGCCAGAGAAAAATCAGTTTTTTGTTTTGTCCGAAACATAGTGTTTTAATGTAAAATGACAATTTCAGATATGTTGGCAGCCACTAGTGTCCTACAGCAAAAAGCTACCGATATTCGTAGCCAGAAAGTCAATTGGCAGTCTTATTTTCAGTAAGTATATAATATTGGATTTTAGTCTTAATTATTAACATATTATGCAAATAAGAAAAACTAGAATTTTTGTAATTTTTCATTGGTTAATTTTAAGTCAAACCAAATATGTGAGTATTCATTATATAAAAATTAGACCAAAAATCAAATATAAGAGTTTAAAGTTGAGTAACAGATACATTAAAATAACTATACTTAAATATTTCCTATGAAAATGAAAGTCAAAGTCAAAAAAATTATAATTCTAGATCTCAAATGATATCTCAAGAAGACTACACATTCATTGTGGCCTTTGATGTGTCAGACAGCCAGCAGAAAAATTCCCTATTGATGCAGGACAGAAATCAGGCTGCCCAAACTTTGCTGAACTTGTTGGGGCACGTTTCCAAGGACCAAACCTTGCAGTATATTCTGGTGTTGGTCGACGATATGTTGCAAGTAAGAATTTTAAATCTATTTTTCGCTTTATTGTAATCGGCCCGTTAAATAATTCTACTGCTCAACTAAACAGTTACAGATGCTGATTTTCTTGGTATAGTAAAGTAATGTTTCTCTTAATTTTGCAATTTTATATTATTTGTCCTAAGTCGATGTAATTAATATCCAGAAACCAAATCAATTTAAAAGGAAAAATTGAGAAATATTTCGAATAAAATTACAAGGATTTTTGTTATTTAGAAAAGTAATAAAATTTTAGCCATGTACTAGTCTAATAATAGAATAATAATTATCTATGAAATACCTTTGCATATTTTTACTGATAAGCATTAACTTTTATGCACAAAATAAGTCCTAACTTCATGAATCACTTCATTTATAACATGAATAATAAATATCGAGTTCATATTTTACTCCGCGCAAGCAAGTAAAATATCCAATATTGAATTAATCTATTATAACCAGCAACTTTTTGACTTGAGATCTAATGTTTGGTGTGGCCTTAATTCATTTATAATGGCTTCTATGCCATAATAAGCGTTTTTGATTTAAGATCATTGTCTTAGTATAAGGGTGATATCCATCCAATCTAAAAATAACTGGACCATCTGTTATAAATTGTATTCTTTTGTTTCTTGGAATTCTAGTATTATTCCTTTTTATCCAACATTATCAAAAACTTATTTAAACAACCATTTTTGTTGTGTAGATTTTTCAAATCGATTGGAAAAACAGTCTTGCTGCGCTGCTTTCAACTATTGTTGTTCTACTACCCACTTTAAATATATATGTATTCTGATTCTGGAGACAGATGTATAATTTTTTTATTAATTATAGTTTCGTGAGTTGAGGTATCATTGTCGTTGCATTTTTGCTGTTATTCCAGATGCAAGTAGTTTTATTTTTCAGGCAGAACATCGAAGTTACATTTATTTTTAATTTCCACAATTTGAATAATATTTTTTCCATTGTTTTTTCATAATTTCGTATTGAAATTTTGGGCCAGTTAGTTTCTCGAGAATATAGGAAATTTGGTCTTGTAAACCAGCAGTCATTTGGTGTTGAAGTATTTGTTGAGATACTCCTTGTGCAAACATCAGCAACATTTTCATTAGTAGATGCAGGACGCACCCATTTACATTGTTCCAGATTTGAACTTTCATTAATAGCAACGAATGTTTGGAGGTTTTTCTTAGTTCGTAGCCATTATTGCAGGACAGTTTTTGAATTTGACGAATAAAATTTTTTGGGAAGACAAAGGCAGGTGTTTTGCTACATCTTGAGATAATCTTATTCCCATTACTGCTGCCGTTAGTTCTAATTTTGGTATGGATAAAGTCTCACCACTGGAGCTTTGAATCCAGCAGAAACAATCTTGATTTGATTGTTTTCCTTAAATTAAATTCTCAGGTAAATTGCTGCTACGTATGCCTCAATAGGGAACTTGCACATTAAATTAAATATGAAATAAATAATAAAATACAATAACAATCATCCTTGTTTCTTCCTCGATAGCTCAGTTAATTGAAACTCGTTTATTTATTTTTACTTTCGGTTTTATTCTCGAAAGAGTACAAAGGGGATTTTTTAAATAAAAAAAGGCTGACAATTTTGGCGACCTGTTGCGTCTCTCGTGGTCGCACCCCCCTAACAGACAGCGACCGAACCTTTAGAGGTTAACAAAAATACATTTTTATAAATGCCGAGTTGCCATATCTAGTCTAATAATAATTAGAGAAATTCAACAAAAGTAAAATTATAAAAACTCATTAACATACTCCCCGCCTTGAGAGACTTATGTCTATCAATACCAATAACTTACTTACTATTACAACACACATATACTTTCTAAACAAAATCTAACTTCTTGAAAACCAAAACAAATTTTACGAAAAGTCTAGTCCAGGGTTATCTAAACAGTCACTCTAAGGGCAAAGCACAAATGCTGTTCACAGAACGCCGAATTTCACCATTTCGACCATTATATCATATTGACTCTTGTTCTAGAAATTTATAAACTTGAATGAGCTCATTATTGGCTCCGACGTAGTTTGTAGCATTATCTGAAAAAATATGAGAAGGTTTACCTCGACGGCTTGCAAACCTTTTCAGAGCTGCTATGAAACATTCTGTAGTTAGTTCAGAGACCAGTTCTATATGGACTGCCTTGGTACATAAACACACGAACAGACAAATGTATGCTTTAATTATTTTAGCACCTCTAGTTTTACGATCTTTTATGCAAAATGGCCCGCCATAATCTGTACCAACATTTATAAATGGACAATCGGGATTTACTCTAAAAGTTGGCAAATCGCCCATCAAATAATTCTCAAATTTAGGTGATCTAGCTTTAAAACAGGTAACACATTGCTTTACTATTTTTTTACAGCTATTGCGTCCCGAAATTGGCCAATATTGTTCTCTTATTGAGCACAAAAGTTGCTGCGCACCACAATGCATTAATCTTAGATGCTCTTCTGTCAAAATATGATTTTTTGGCAAAATAATAGGATGTTTTCTTTCAAAAGGTAAACTTGCATTAGTCAGTCTACCTCTTACCCTTATCAATCCATCCTTCATAAAAGGATTTAAAGAAAATATTTTACTTTTTTTGTGTACTATCCCATTATTTTTCAAATCATCATAATCTGCTTTAAAGCATATTTCTTGGACATGCCTTATCAACACTTTATTTGCATTCTCGAACTCACTCGGTGTCACTACAGGCTCTACAATAATTTCTTTTTTGGATCCCTTTAATTTAAGATTTTCTATAAACCTAATTATATAACTTATCACTCTCAAAATTTTGCTATAAAATGAAAACTTCTTTAGGAGATAACTTAAAATATTTGTGCATTCTACTGAATCCATAATTTGCAAATTTACACTCGACTTCACAGTCTTTTGCTCTGGTACCTCAAAATCTATTTTAAGTTTTGTAAGATTCCATTCTGACCTCTCTAGAAACAAAAAATCTGGACCGTGAAACCATAGCTTATTCTCATACAACATTTTTGGCGTGACACCTCGTGACAGTAGATCTGCCGGGTTTTCCTTTGATTTTACATGATGCCAATTATTCACATCAGTCATACTTTGTATTTCACTCACTCTATTGGCTACAAATTGTTTCCATCGGCATAAATTACTCTGAATCCACGCAAGTGAGATCATAGAATCCTACCAGTAGTATATGTTATGAAAATTAATCTCCAAAGCCTTTATCGTTTTACATGCTAGATTTGCCAAAAGAACCGCACTGCAAAGCTTTAATTTCACCAATGTTTGGCATTTAATTGGAGCAACTCTACTTTTTGCTACTAACAAGTTTGACAAAATTAAACCCGATGATAAGACACACCTAACATACAAAACTGCTCCATACGCCCTCTCACTCGAATCACAAAATCCATGCATCTCAATTGTAACATACTCTGTGCTCAAAACATGTCTTGGTATTTGGAAGTCATTTACTAAATACAACTCATTCAAAAAAATCATCCACTTCTCTCTTAAATCACTAGGCAAGTTAGGATCGTCCCAATCAACCTTTAACTTCCACAGTTCTTGTAAAATCAACTTTGCGACGACAATTATTGGGCCTAGCAGACCCAAAGGGTCAAAAATCTGACATATAATTGACAAAATACATCTTTTTGTTAAACGTTGTGGAAGTGAAAAGTCTTTTATTTTGTACTGAATCAAATCTTCATTTGAATTCCAGAATATTCCCAAGGTTTTGTTGTGTTGGTTTTCCCCTATATTCAAAACACTAACATCAAGTTCCTTATTTATTTCAAATTGACTCAAAATTTCCCATTTGTTACAAAGCCATTTTCTCAACTGAAAACCAGCACTTGACAAAATATGACATATTTCTCTCTGCATTTTTAACATGTCCTCAGACCTATCACATCCTGTTAGCAGGTCATCCATGTAAAAATCCTTTTTTATTATCTCGCAAGCGTCTGGAAAAGTATCCTGGTAATCTATGGCCAACTGAAACAAACATCTAACAGCTAAATACGGCGCAGACGCTGTACCATATGTAACCGTTTGTAACTCAAAACATTTCAACCTTTGATCAGTTTCAGACCTCCAAAAGATACGCTGGTATTTTCTCTCATCCTCTGCTAACATGATGCAACGGTACATTTTGGACACATCAGCTGTCATCACAAATTTGTGCTTTCTAAGCCTACACAAAATTGAAAATACATCCTGCTGTAGAGGGGGGGCCACTAAACTGAATATCATTCAATGACAAAACACTCGTCGATTTTTCACTTGCATTAAAAACAACTCTACATTTGGTAGTGCTACTCTCCTCCCTCACTACAGCATGATGCGGCAAATAAAAGTTTTCTTTGTTCATTATTTCTGGTTCTACTATTTCTTTCATATGTCCTAAATTCTCATACTCTAACATGAAATTCTGATACTCACCTTTTAAGCTTAAATTTTTTGCCAGTCTTTTTTCAAGATTCCCAAATCTGTTTAACGCAGTTTGACGCGAAAATCCCAACTGATTTAAATTGTTTTTATATCCTACTGAACTATTAAAACCATATAATACCTTGGTTACGATAATCATAAACAGAGTCTTAACTCCCAAGGGAGTTAAGGATTTTCATAACTCCCAAGGGAGTTAAGGAAGGGAGTTAAGGATATCATAACTCCCAAGGGAGTTGAGGATTTCCATAACTCCCGCTTTTACCTTGAATAGGTAACACTTTGACAAAAAATAGAAATTTTGATTTATGGCTTATCCCTTTATAAAAATAGACAGAATACAGTAAATTCAGTAGGATATAAAATTATCTATGTACCACGGGAATTATCAGGAGTTAATACCCACGGGCAATTGGTGTCCCTCGGGCCGGAGGCCCTCGGGACACAGACGTTGCCCTGGGGTATTAACACCTGCATAATTCTCTTGATACATAAATAACTATTAAATGGCACCCTAACTACAAATCTGCCCTACTCATCGC